AGCCGTTGGGAAAACACTCTTGACACTTGCTCCGTGCTGGCGTTTGTCTCCACACAAGACTCCCAGTCTGATCCCACTCTCTCGTTCAACTCGCTCGCCCCCGTCTAACATCCCTATAATAACATAATAATCATCATCTTGCATTTGATACAGCACCTTATCGCGTCGTTGAGACGTCTCAGGGAGCTTCACAGTATATAAAGTGAATTAACTGTGTATTTGTGGGTGAAATGAGGCAGCCAATTGCGCACAGCAGTGTCCCCACAAACAATCATGGATTTAGTGAGTAATTTCTTTTTGAGGGATTATTGCCCCCAGAAAGCGATCCGCCAATCGAACTAACAACCGTTCCTACTTACTGCTAGGGAAACAAAGGAGTGTGGAGTAAGGAAACTTGCCTAAGGAATCGAACCCGGTTCCTCTCATTATCTTCTTGCGATTATCTTTAAACTGCCTCTGACACCAGCGGAATTAACCAACCATTCACAAATTTATAATAATCCTTGCATTTGATACAGCGCCTTTCACATCATGAGGATATCTCAAAGTGCTTCACAGGGTGTACTGTAAAGTGCAGTGACTCTGCATTTGCAGGTGAACGCACCAGCAACCCACAAACAGCCATGAAATGAACGATTGATTTTATCTGGCAGATTGCTGGCCAGAACACCAGGAGAGAGAAATTTTCTTCTCTTTTCCTGGCAGAGCCACAGGATCATTAACATCCACAGACGGGAAGCTCGGTTTATCCGAAGGGCAGCATCTCCGACAATGCAGTACATCCCCAGCACTGAATTGGAGAGTCAGCTTAGATTAGACGAGTTCAAAGTCACGTCTCAAACGTACCTCCTTGACCACGATGTCAGTCATCTTTCTCCTCTCCCCCCCATCCTCGGCTCCCGGCCCCTGTTAAGGTGTCCTTCCAGCACTGTGAAATGCTTTAAGACATCCTCCTGACATGAAAGGCGCTGTATAAATGGAGACCGTATTGTGTTGTACTGAAAGTCCTGAGGTGTAGTGACTATGTATTGTAGACCAGTGTTTCTGTGCTGTAGCACTGCAGGATTAGAATAGGTATTGGGCACAGGCGAGACCATAAAGCATTTCTTGGCAAACTAGGTTTGTGTTTATCTGGATTTAATTCTATTACATCCTTCATTAATCTTTTAAATGACCGAAGGTCCCATGAGTTTAAATGCCTGTGACATAACATCTCGTTACTGGTACTTAAAACATACCACCAGCATCTGGAGAGAAGCCAAACCTCAGAAAATAAAACCGCACACACAAAAACTCAGGACAGACTCGGCTTCTAACACCAACATCGCTTAGAGCTAACCCTTTCGGCACGGTGAGACAACTCCCACCGTGGCCCCGCTCACATCCCTCCATGGCCATCCCCACCCTAGCTCCGACACTGACTGCAACTCTCCCCCTGCCTTTGCCTGATCCCCACCCCACTCGGCACTGCTTTCTGACCCTCCCCACTGTCGCTGGACGGGCTTTCAGCCATTCAGTTCCTGCCCAGAATCCCTCTGGTTCTCCCCTCACTCCACACCTTTGAAGTCCTTTCTTCTCAATGATGCTTTTTGGTCATCCCACTACCCCCAAGTTCACAAAATGCCTTGAGACATCCCCCTGATGTGAAAGGCACTGTGTCACTGTTTGATGTGTGTTGTAGCTGGGGTTTGATTTTACTCATTAACGCTGCTGGTCAGACAGTGATCTCAATGGCAAGCGATGTGGTTTTAGCTCCAGCAGTTACCCCAACGCACACTCTGGGGTCCCCCCAAGCCTTGGCTCTTGCCAACCTGCGCCTAATGCTTTCCAGGGATAGAGAGCGCATTCCATTCCAACAATCTCTCTCTGGGATTTCCATGTGTTGGTGGGATGTATGGAATTCTCAGTTTGGTTTGGAAACTCTTAAGCAACAGTGATGGGTTTCCCCATGTGTCAGACACCCGGCGGGGAAAAAAACCCTCCCACCACCCCCCACCTCTGGAGACTGGAGAGGAGAGGAGTTTGTTCCAGATGTGGACAAATAAACAGTGGAAGAACAGATCCAGGAGAGGGACATTCACACACTCACACACACTCTCTCTCGCACACTCTCTCCCTCTCTCTCTCACACACTCATTCACATACACCCACAGTGTGGAAGTACCGACACTTGTTTCATAGAGTCAGACATCAAAGAGGAAACATATGCAACACATAACCCCCCCAAACCCCCCCCCCCCAAACACCCCTCCCCAAACACCCCCCCACAACCCCCCCCAAACACCCCCCCCAAACACCCCCCCCCAAACACCACCCCAACACAAACCCCCCCCAAACACCCCCCCCCCAAAACCCCCCCCAAACCCCCCCAACACATTACCCCCCCCAAACACCCCCCCCAAACAACCCCCCAAACCCCCCCCAAACACCCCCCCCCAACACACCAAACCCCCCCAAACACCCCCCCCCAACACACCCCCCAAACACCCCCCAAACACCCCCCCAAACACCCCCCCAAACACCCACCCCAACACATAACCCTCCCCAAACACCCCCCCCAAACACCCACCCCAACACATAACCCCCCCCAAACACCCCCCCAAACACCCACCCCAAACATAACCCCCCCAAACACCCCCCCCAAACACCCACCCCAACATATAAACCCCCCCAACACCCCCCCCAAACACCCACCCCAACACAAACCCCCCCCAAACACCCCCAAACACCCCCACCCCAAACACCCCACCCCCAAACAAACCCCCCCAAACCCCCCCCCCCAAACACCACCCCCCACACCCCCCCCAACACACCCCCCCCAAACACCACCCACCCAAACACCCCCCCCCCCAAACACCCCCACCCCAAAACACCCACCCCAAACACCCCCAACACCACCCCCCAACACAAACCCCCCCAAACCCCCCCCACCAAACACCCCCCCCAAACACCCACCCCAACACAAACCCCCCCAAACACCCCCCCCCAAACACCCACCCCAACACAAACCCCCCCAAACACCCCCCCAACACCCCACCCAACACAAACCCCCACCCCAAACACCCCCCACCCCAAACACCCCACCCCAACACAACCCCCCCAAACACCCCCCACCCCAAACACCCACCCCAACACAAACCCCCCCCAAACACACACCCCCAAACCCACCCCAACACAAACCCCCACACCCCCCCCAAAACCCACCCCAACACAAACCCCCAACACCCCCCCCCAAACACCCACCCAACACAAACCCCCCCCCAAACCCACCCCCCAAACACCCCCCCCCAAACACCCACCCCAACACAAACCCCCCCCAACACACCCCCCAAACACCCCAACACCCCAACACCAAACCCCCCCAAACACCCCACCCCAACACAAACCCCCCCAACACCCCCTCCAACACCCACCCCAACACAAACCCCCCCCAAACACAACACCCCCCAAACACCCACCCAACACAAACCCCCCCAACACACACCCCCAACACACCCCAACCACAAACACCCCCCAAACACACACCCCAACACAAACCCCCCCCACACACACCCCAACACACCCCCAAACACACCCCAACACAACACCCCCCCCCAACACCACCCCACACACCCCCCAACACACCCCCCACACAACCCCCAACACAAACCCCCCCAAACACAACACCCCCCAAACACAACCAACCACAACACACCCCCAAACCACCCACCCCACACATAACCTCCCCCAAACACAACACCCCCAAACACCCACCCCAACACATAACCCTCCCCCAAACATAACACCCCCCAAACACAAACCCCAACCACACAACACCCCCCAACCACCCACCCAAACACATAACCCTCCCCCAAACACAACACCCCCCAACCACCCACCCCAACACATAACCCTCCCCCAAACACAACAGTCCCCAACCACCCACCCCAACACATAACCCTCCCCCAAACACAACACCCCCCAAACACAACCCCCAACCACACAACACCCCCCAACCACCTACCCCAACACATAACCCTACCCCAAACACAACACCCCCCAAACATCACCCCCAACTACCCCAAACACAAAAACCTCCCAAACCCACAACCCCCCAATGCACACCCCGAAAACTAACAACCCCACAATCCCTGAAACACCCCCCCTCCAAACACCCCCCAAACCACAACCCTCCCAATACAAACCCCCCCAAACACACAAGCCCCAACAACCCCCCCAAACACACAAACCCGCCAAACACACAAACCCACCAAACACACAACCCCACAAACACACAACCCCCCAACACACACTTCCCCAAACACACAAACCCCCCTCCAACCACCCCCCAAACCACAACCCTCCCCAAATACAAAACCCCCAAACACACAACCCCACAAACACACAACGCCTCCAACACACAACGTTTCCAAACACACACACAAAACCCGCCGCCAAACACACAACCTCCCAAACACATAACCCTCCCAATCACACAACCTCCACAAACACACAAAACCCCTAAATACCCAACCCCCTAACCACACAACTCCCCCAAACACACAACCCCCAAACACACAACCTCCCCGAACACACAAACCCCCTCAAACAACCTGTAACCTACCCCCTTCAAACACTACCTCAAACCACAACCCTCCACAAACACACAACCCTCAATCACAAAAGCCCCCCAAACACCCCCCAAAAACACAACCCCACAAACACACAACCCCCAAACACCCTCCCCACAGACACAACCCCCTAAACACACAACATTCACAAACCCACAACCCACCCCCAAGCACACAACCTCTCAAACGCAACCCCCCAAACATGCACCCCCCAAAGACACAACCCCCCCAAAAGACACAACCCCTCAAACACACAACCTCCAACACACAAACCCCCAAACATGCAAACTCCAAACGCACCTCCCAAGACACAACCCCCCAAAAACACACACACAAATACACAACCTTCCCAAACTCCCCCCACTCCCCAGACACACACACAAACCCAGGTCAGTGTTGATGACCCTCTCTGGCCACAGGGAATCAAATATCCAGCGCCTTTAATTAAAAACTCTAAAGATATTCAGTAAAATTGTACATTCGCAGTGACTAAGTGGCAGATAGATATACATCGTTAACAAGATAAAGACATCAAAGAAAATCCTGGTCACAACCGACAAAGCTGTGTACATCATAAGAGCAGCAAAATCTCCACACACAATTGACTGGCAATGAAAAATGTATAATACACTATAAAGGGTTGAGGACAAAGCTGAGGGCGCAGGTCAATGTCTCCCCTCTCAGCACCCTCGGGATGTTGTGTCAAATCAGCCTTTTCTCTGGTCAGGTTCAAGTCAATATCAATGGGGGAGGAGAGAAGGGGGAAACCACCAAATGCAAAATCAATTCTGTGCAACCGAGGTGTTGCGGCCATAATCAGATAATAATAATAATCCTTGCATTTAATATAGCGCCTTATCATGTCTTCGAGACGTCTCAAAGTGCTTCACAGAATGTACTGTGAATTGACTGTATTTTGTGGGTGAAACGCGGCAGCCAATTGTGCACAGCAAATATTTATGAAGGAGCAGGTGTGACTGAACCCTGAAATGCATCGCACAGATACTTGAAATCCCATTTACCTGCTTTTTCCCCAATCCCAAATCCCAAGCCTCAATTGCCGAGTGCCTGTCTCCGCTCTTAACTATCCCAGTGGACTCTTTGTTCACAGCCTCCTGAGGCAATGTGGTACGAACACTGAGAGGCAGAGAGGGAACAGCGAACATTGGGAGCAAAGTGTGTTGTGTACAGTAAAGGATTTACAGGTTACAGCCAGGGCAGCTGAGAATAACGGTAAAACTAAAGGTGTTTCAGCTCTGACAGTGGCAACCTTTAGGATCTTTGCTAATGCCGTGAATTTCCCAAAATCCGGGATCAGGGTGTGGGTGAATCAGGCAAACGAGGAGCGATGTCGGGATTCAGGGTTCGCAGTTTTACAGGGTTCAGAGCGAAGTTCCACCGAATGTCGTGACAAAGCTCTCACCTATAGCCCATTGCAATAACCCAAAGGTGTCTGACTCTGCAGCTAGGATCTGAAACCGGGATTGAAGTTGGGAAATAAACATTTCTTAGGAAAGCCAAGCGGGGAGTCCCTCTCTCTCTCTCTCCCTCCAGGAATGGGGGTACGGCACGCCGGGAGTAACTGGTGTCGGAGTTCGTGTTTGCGAGTCAGACTGATGTATTGCCACTCCTGTTGCTAAAGTATCCCGTCAGGAATGGCTGACAAAGTCCTGTTACCCAAAAACAGCGATGTGAGACTGTGGAGCACCTGCTGTCAGAGATGCATTTGGCCTCACTTCATCCCTGTTACTGAAGATGTGTTACTGAACCTGGCGACGAATGATTATCTGCCATGAAAATGATGGAACTCACACTCACACCAATCCTTTGGAAGTCTAAATACAGTTACACACTTGTACTGAACACTTGTATATAGAATTATCATCATTCTTCCATGTTTCAGTTGTTGGTCAGTGCACTGTAAAAGTTGGGGGGGGGGGGGGTAACAGGACTTTGCGGACATCAAATCCCTAGAACCACACTAAACACAGTAGTCGCTGGAGCCCAGGACACACTATTATTCTATATAATATGCTGCAGATTTTTGATGAATACAGTGTTTGCCTCAAATAGATAACGGACAGCATTGCAAGTCCGTACCCCTGATTCCTTTCTCAGAGCAGAGCAGCCCGACTCTCTCACATTCTCTTCTCCGCATCCATCCGTCTCTTCTTTCCTCTCCCGTGCGATGGTGCAGCAGATTTAATGGAAAACAAATCTAAATTTTTTTTGCGAGGAAAAGAAAAGCTCTCGTCTTTCTATTTGCTCAAAATCTGGTGGCACTGAGCGCACACAAACACCATCTCTCTCTGGGCATCTGGGGCTGGAAGTAAAAGAGAGAGAGAGAGAGAGATTATTGTGAGCTTGTATTATTTTAGTGCCTACAATGTTCAAAAGCATTTCAGTGTGAGGTTTTAACTTTTGTTTATTAAACCGAATGTGTTCCACTTAGGGACCCAGGGTTGTCCCTCGATGATATAAGGTGCTATTTAAAATGCAAGAATTATTATTATTATTACTACTGGAATACCGGTGCTGTACTGGGGGAAAGCCCGAATACCCCCCAACTTCCAGGCCCCAAATGGTCAAAAGGACAATGTGGACCTGAAATGTGTCTTCACGACCATGCGAACAGGTCAAGTGATGGGATGGCAGGGCAAGCCCGGTCTGAGCCTAGTGACCAAGTGCTCGAGTGAGCTCTGTATTCCAGTGTCTCCTGGTCCTCTGAGTGAGGGCAGATCAACCTCCTTCGATCGGAAGTCCTGCAATACCAATCCCATCAGTGTGAATTGTTCACACACAGCAAAGTCCCACAAATAATATTAATAATAATCCTTGCATTTAATGTAGCACCTGATCACCTCTTTGAGACGTCTCAAAGCGCTTCACAGAATATACTATGAAGTGTAGTGACTGTGTAGTTTGTGGACCGTGCCCGGGATGTTACTCGACATGAAGGGCGCCGTATACATACAAGCTGTTGTTCTTGTTTTTAGTGGGGAGCTGTGAGCTCAAGACGTGAATGCAGCTTGAACTCCGAAGCTCCTGACACAGAGGCGAGCGTGCTATAAATAACAACAGCAACAACTTGCATTTGTACAGTGCCCTCCATGCGGGTTAGCGTCTCGGAAGCACTTAAATTTGGTTCCACCAATGGGAGCCGGGCTGAGACCTGAACAGCATTCCTCACACTATTACATCGACCTAAGCTGATCGCTCCCTCCGCTCAGAGGGCCTCCGGCCTGCTCCACATCCCCCACCCAATCTGCCCCCCCATCGGCGGGTAGGCCTTCAGCCTCTCCGCCCCCACCCTTTGGAACTCCATCCCTTCAAGACCTGTCTCAAGACCCTCCTCTTCGACCGCGCCTTCGGTCACCCTCTTACCCCAACTGCCCTTCAGCTCTCCTGATCCCAACCATCAGCTCGAGTCCAAATCCCTGACCGTCCAGGGCTTTAGGACGTCCTCCCATCGTGAAAGGCGCTTGTAAATGTAATTTATTATTGTTGTTGTTATGGGGAACACAAGGAAAGCAATCAATTACCTGTTGCTCCCATTGATGACTTCGGAACTTTGGATGAACAACATCGCGAGCAATAGCTGTTTCCACAGTTGCTGCAGTTACGCTGAAAAAGGGAAAAAACAGAGCTGGGATATTAACGTGATACCCGAAGCCCCGAGAGTTCACACGGTTTTAGGCATAATACCACGGTCTAAGAACGTCACTGCAGATTTGTGGAAAATTCTTACATTTAGCCTTAATTTACAAAAATGGTTTCCAACGATAAAACCGGAATTAAGAACCTTCCAAAATTCTGAGCCGTGGTGAATTTTGAGACCAGCCTTCAGAACAAAAGCAGAATCTTAACAATAATAATCGTAGCAATTGATATAACTCCTTATCACATTGTTGAGACGTCTCAATGCACTTACAGAATATACTGTAAAGTGAATTTGTGGGCGAAACTTGGCAGTTTCGCACAAACCGTGGTGGACTGAGTGAACAAATTATTATTTTTTTAAGGCATTATTACCCCTGGAAAATCGACTAATAACCGGGTTCCTACTTACTGCTAGGTAAACAGAGGCTTGTGGAGTAAGGAAACTTGCTTAAGGTTTCTCCCCACCCAGGAATCGAACCTGGGGCCTTTTGCTTGTGAGGAGAGCGTGGTAACCACTTCGCTACGGGACTCCAAATCAGGATAGAACAGAACATCTGAAAGATGTACACTGGTATTTAGACTCCTGCAGATTGTATCCTCTGTATAATTCCCCGTAGTGGGTGGATTAGAGCGACGGAGAGGAGTGGGGGTAACTGGTTTCTCATCTATTCCCTCCCCTCCCCCACTGGGAATTGGAGGACCTATAAAAGGTCAACAGATCACAGGCCAAGGAATTGGAGGAGAAAAACTGGCAATGGAGTGGTTGGGGGGGTAGGCACGAGGCTGAATTTATCTCTGGACGACCACTGCAATCTGCCCCACTCTGAGGCTATCAATTGTGAATGGAGTTTACACAGCATTGGAAGCGTTCCACAGGAGCGATTGACTGTGCCTTTAACAAGCTCACTAATATTTCCCCTTTAAACCCCCGCCGTGTGGTTGTCCACAAGGGGAAGTGGTTGCGACTGTGGATTCACTTGCTTAGCAAAGGAATGAATTCTTTTATACTCACTCGCTTCTTCAGAACTGAGAAGGTGGTAGTGCAGCTGTTACAGTTTCCTGGAATCAAAAGAGATGAGCAGAAAATATATCAGTAAAAGAGGTAGATGGTAAAACAAAGGCTCCTCCGTGTACAGAGCACACCTGCAAAACCCTGGGAGTCCCATAGCCGAGTGGTTAGCGCTCTCGCCTCGTGAGCGAGAGGACCCAAGTTTGATTCCTGGGCGGGGCAAAACCGGGCGCCTCCTTAGACAGGTTTCCTTACTCCACACACCTCTGTTTACCCAGCAGTAAGTAGGAATCCGGTTGTTAGTCGATTGGCAGATCACTTTCCCTCAAAAAAAAACTTCACACGGGTCTCTGCACTGCGTGAAGGACAATATATAAATGTAAGTTGTTGTTGACTGATTGTGGGATATTGCTGTGCCTCATTTCACCATAAAATGCACAGTCACTCCACTTTACAATATTTTCTGTGAAGCCCTTTGAGATGTCTTGACGACATGATAAGGCCTGTATCAAATCAAAAAAGATTATTATTATTACTTGGAATGGCCACATTCAATATTACTGCACGTACAATTATTATTCTTATCATTATTGGTCATAATTGTCTCTTGCACAGGAAGAAGTGCAGAAAACATGTGCATTTGGAAAGCCAAGGCAGAGACACACACTCCTCATATCTAAAACTCCATCTGTTTTACATGACTTCATTCACAGAATTCCCCACAAATTCTGCTGATCGCACAAAAAAAGGGCTGAGGTTATTAAAACGCCAAACGCATGCTGGTGATGAGTTAAGTCACAAACCCCAACACTTGGCTTAATATGAGTACTCATGTTCTCAAACGCTGAACACGTCCCACTGCACAAGTGCTGATCACTTTACCAGGCTTTATTGATTTCTGCCGTGTTTGGAAACGTGACCTTATAGAACACAATATGGTACAAATTTACATTTATTTTGCAGACGACTAGATTTTCCCAAGGGGCGGGTGGGAAGAGTCTCTGGGTGGCTTGCTTACACTTTTGCTCCATTAACCTCTGGGTGTGAATCAAGCGCAGATGTGTAATTTGGAAACCCAGAGGGGAAAAAGAAACAGAAAAAAACTGTAATGCCAACAACATCAAAACGTCTCAAAGCGCTGTACAGCAATGAAGCCAAGTGTAGTGGCTGTGCGCTTGAGTGTTTTCTCCACTCCTGTTAACGATAATATAATCTCTGCATTTGATATAGCGCCTTATCACTGCCTTCTGCTCATTTGGAATCCTGTAGCGGAGTGGTGAGAACGCTCGCCTTGCAAGCGAGAGGATCTGGATCGATTCCCGGGCAGGGGCAAACCTTAGGCAAGTTACCTTATGCCACATGCCTTTGTTTAAATAGTTGTAAGTTGGAATCTGGTTGTTAGTCGATTGATGGATCGCTTTCCGGGGGTAATAATTCCTTAAAAAAAATCTAAAAAATTTGGGCACTCAAGCCACGACTGTTTGTGGGAAACTGCTATGTGCTGTTGCCTGTCACGTTTCACCCACAAAATGCACAGCCAATTCTCTTTACAGTATATTCTGTGAAGCATTTTCAGATGCTATGATAAGACGCTATAGCAAATGCAAGGATTATTATGATGATGAATACATTTGTTTCTAATTAGAAATGTATTCGAAGTTGACTTTGAACCCTCTCCCACACACACATAGACTGACTCCTGCTGGGAATGCAGAATCAACTGCTTACCGATTAATTCACTGACTTTACCCTTCCTCTTGGGGATCCAGACAACCTCCTCTATATCGTGTCTGTCTGGCACACGCGGATTCTCAGAACTCGGGATGCGGTGCGGAGGGGAGTAGGGGAAGTCTATCACGCCGGTCTCGCCATGCTCCACTAGCTCCCTATCATCGAATGGATCGATTTCAAGGTCCCCTCACTTGTCTTCAAATCCTTTGGTGCCCTGATGGTCTCCCTAGCTCTCCAACCTCTCCCCACTCCACCACCCGTTGCTGCCAATCGACTGGCTCCGGCCTGCTGTTTGTCCCTCGTGCCCTCTGTTCCACCATCAGTGGCCGCGCTTTCAGCCACTACGCCCTTGGTGTCGTGCTCCGCCACTGTCAAGCCCTCCAGGACTCTCCCTCCGTGAGGTGCACTGTGTAAATACAAGTTGCTGCTGTCTAGTTTGTGTGATTTCTTAATAAGGAACAGAGAGGGAACTCCTCCCGCTAATGGGAAGCCTGACACTGTATCCCACAGGGACTCTGCTCTCATGTGATCGACGTGTGGAGCCAGATGGAAGTCATGCGACGGGTCTATTTCTCTCTCTGGCAATTCAACCACGGTATTAAAGTCCCGAGCGGCTGAGGATTTTTTCTGTAAGACAGCTGCGACGGAGGCCAGTTGGCGCTCCTTGGCCAGGAACATGTTTGTTTTGGATGGCGGGCTCCCTCCAGAGACGCGGGGAGTTTCAAAGCCGGCTTCGAAGGCACATGTGATTGGAAACAAATGTATTCATGAATTTTTGAAACACTGCCTGGCGGCAACTGGCTCCAGCGCATACTGTGGCCAGAGCCAATTTAATAAAACCTTGGTATGAAGCCACGTGTTGGTTATTGAAAGGCAAGGAGTCAGTGGGGGGTATCTGGATCATAGACAGCGATATAACCAACAGGCCACCAAAACAATTAGAGATCCACAAATATACAGTCAATTCACTTTACAGTGTATGCTGTGTAGTTCTTTGAGACGTTTGGAAGTCGTGTAAAGCACTATATCAAATGCAAGATTATTATTATTTATAGATCCAGTATAGTGTTCCTTAAAGGATCCAACATTTTTTCTTAAAGGGGGTCCCTTATCCATACAATTGTCACCTCCTGCCTCGATTATTCCAACTCCCTCCTCGCCGATCTCCCCAGCATCATCAATTCGTATACTGCAATTAATTTAAAAACTCCGCCGCTCGTATCCTCACCTGCACCAATCTCTAGACCCCCACCCCCCCAATCCTTGCCAGGCTCTATAGGCTTCCTAGTTACAGAATGGATCGATTTCAAGATTTGTACACTCTTAACAGAGTGCTTTGGCTGCCTTCGCTCAGCTGCCTCCAGCCTCCTGCTTGTCCCTCATCCCCTCCGCTCCACCATTGGAGGCCGTGTTTTCAGCCACCACGCCCCAAACTATGGAACTCTCTGCTTCAATCCCTCCACCTTGCCGCCTACATCCCAGTCTTCAGATCACACCCGAAGGCTGTCCTCTTCTACCATCCCTATGGGCACCTCTCCTCGCTCCCCGGCTCCGAAACGCTACTGCAGGTGTATTTTATTGCCAATAGCAGCAGTGGTTGAGTTGGCAAATGGGAGTTCCAGTTGGGTTATCCCCTCACCCTTGTAGACTGACAAACCTGACACAGTCTAGCCTCCAGTGATCAGAACACAAACCTTTTGGTGAGAGGTCAGTATGCCTCACATGTCGCACTCTCACCTCTGGAGACAGTAGAGGTGAGTGCTCCAATACACTACAGGACTCCTAAATACAAGTTGCTGTTGATAAAGTGCTATATGAAATGCAAGAATTATTATTATAATTATTACAATATCACCAGAAGACAGTGAGTCAGAAAACCATCCTTCCCACACAAACAATAGTTTGAATGTCAAATGCTTCACCACACATAGCTGCTGAAACCAAGTGAGTATTAGCATTTAACAGTGATCTGGACAAATACCTGAAGAGAAAGGTTATTGAATGATGGGGGTGGAAAGAGCAGGAGAATGAGACTAGCGTTGACAGCTCCAGCATTGGAATAAGCACCAGCATAGACATGATGAGCCAAATGGCCACCTTCAGTGTTGTATTGTTATGATAACCCTGTTATGATTCCAGAATAATGAATCTACGTCGGCTTTAAGTTTGATTTCACCTATTGCAACGTATAACAAAAACATTTACACAGCGCTCCTCATGCAGGGTAGTGTCCCAGAGCGGCTGACAGTGGCGGAGCACGACACCGAGCCGGGGGGGAGGGAGAGGTGACCGTAAGCATGGACAAACAGGAAGGTTTTCAGGTGCGACCGGAAGATGGGAAGGAAGGGGCAAGGCGGAGGGATTGAGGAAGTAGCTGAAAGCGTGGCCACCGATTGTGGACCGAGGACATAAGGGACATGGAAGAGGCCGGAGCCAGTCAAGCGGAGGCAGCGAATAGTGGTTTAGGGAGTAAGTAGGTCGGAGAGTGAAGCGATTTGAAAACGAATCTGAGGATTTACAAATGCAGTGTAAAATCATTACTGTAGCTCGTTCTTTGGGGACATAAAGGCAATGTGATCTGTGGTTTATATAAAATCTGGATAAAACGCCACTAAACGTGGCTGATATTGATTTGCATTTTTTGCATCTCCTGGGCTGGATCTGAGACTCTAACAGAACGATAGCCTCACCGATAATTCCTTCCACATTGAAACACACACAGGAGAAAAAATCAGCTTTAAGAAAAATCTTGAACTAGTAAATGTTGCTGATCTTCTGGCATGTTTTCACATCGGACGTGAGGAAAATACCAGATTGGAAATCACTTTTGGAAGTCACAGACAGCTCTGGATTCAGTAATAGCTCATACTGTCCGTGACCTGGGAGTGGATGGACAGTGTAGAGGGAGCTTTACAGTGTCTCTAACCAGTGCTGTCACTGACCTGTCACTTTAGGGGCCAGGCGGAGGTATGAGCAAGTGGAGAAACTGGAAGGTGGGCAATGGTAGAGGGAAAGGTAAACTATTTCTAGTCTCTTACAGAAGATGGACATATCACAAGCGGCCATCAATCACACTAAAATAGCCTAATTCAGCTTTTCAAGGCCAACAACAAACCGTCTACAGAAGAGAAGCAGAGTACACCCTGTCCCCTGTGCACACAGTGTATACCCTGTTGCGTGTCCACACAGAGTATACCCTGTCCCCTGTCCACACAGAGTTCAGCCTGTCCCCTGTCCCCTCAGAGTACACCCTGTCGTGTGTCCACACCGAGGAGCAATTACATTCCGGTCTTGCTGAAGCTCACCTGTAATACAGAGC